CGGGGGGTTTGGCAAACTGGCTGTGGTGAAGCACCGTTGTCGCCTTCGGGATCGTCCATGCCCCCGCCCCATGGGTCGCCCTCGCACATGTCAGGGTATAATTATCCAGGCCCACCGTGCTCATGGATCTGGGCTTGGACTTCTTCTAGAAATTGTTGGACTTGTTCCCCGCGTGGTTTTCGTCCGAACATGACCAATGCTTCGGCGGCTGCACCGCGTCTAGCAGCATGGCCTGAACGTCCTGCTCACGTTGAACTCGTTCCTTATGAGATTCTAAAAAGGTCGCATGAATTGCCCTCAGTTGTGCAGCTGTGTTGTCCCTTTTGTCTGCTTCTTCATTTTTGAAACGTAGCCTCTTCGCATATTCTGTCTCTGCTTCGCGTTGAGCTCGAGTTTGATGACTTTTCTTTCTATTTTGCGGGTCTTGAAGTTCTCGGGGCCTTTTGCTGAAATTGCCTGCTGCAGTCGCACCCGCAAGTCCTTATGTGATCTGAATCTGGTTGGGCGTTGGAGGATCAAGTGCTGCAGACCTCGGCAGACGTAGCTGCTGTCCGTGAGATAAATACTGCGTGTCCAGTTCCATAGCGCCCACCTGAGTGCCGAACGGAGCTCAGCCCGTTGCGCATTATGTACCATCCCTTCCAGACACATGGTGCTGTAGTGTGCGTGTGCTGCCGCCCATAATGCAAACCGCTGCCCCCTCGGCGGAGGCGAAAGTCGGCTTGGCCATCGGGTGCAGCCCCGTCGCCTGCTACAATGACGTAGCCCTCACTATCCAGGGAGTGCTCATCTTGGGAGTCCAGGTCAGGCGGGCGCGCCTCAGGGAGGTCGTGCGCGTCAGGCGTAGCAACCTCCGCAAAGCATGCGTCCACCCTCTCGTCATCCAGGACCAGTCCGCAGAGACGAGTCGCGGCAGGTAACTTTGTGAAGTTGTAGTCGGGATATTTCTCATTCAGCCATCTCCTCGAGTCGTCGAAGCGCTCGCATTCCCACAGTGCGCGGGCTGTGGTCTCAGGAGCTTTGAGGCAAAAAGGACATGTATTAAGAGAGCAGTACTTGGTTCGGCACATGCGCGAAGAAGTTAGAAGGCCTCCACTCCAGAAAATGCGTGCGGCCGCTCTTCTTTTCGCCGTCCACTTGTAGGGGCAGATCTCGGCGGTACCATTGGTGTCGTTCAAGCCTGCTTTGTTTATTTTCTCCCTGTTGGCGGCCACAGTCGCTTCGTAGTCGACACTGCGCCCCAATACACCTCGGAATTATTCTCGGTCGTGCCGGTCTCGATTGGTGTGTGCATAGTATCCTGTCCGCCACGCCGCTCGTCGTAGATCCTGTCGTACAATGTGTCTCCACAGCAGGTCGTCGCCCTCCGCGATGGAGATGTGGCCCCCTGAGGCTCGCTGGATGCTGAGATCCCCGCTGAGTGTCCAGCGCAGATCCGAACATATTTGTAGCAGGACTTGTCCTGGTCCATGTGCATGAGATAGGCTTTCTGCAGCGTGATACTGTTGAAGGACTCCAAGCAGTTTGCGACGAAGATGAGGGCGCTTCTGGAGGAGCCGGCGTAAGGTTATCAACGCCCAGTAGCGACAAGCTTGCCAGGGATCTAGCAGGTGCCCGTGACAACTCAAGGTGAACGTTGAAGCCGTGGGTCGCCGGTCAGCAAGGTGCACTTTCCCGTTCAGCAGGATGCGATGCATGCGAGCACTGCGATGGTTTGTCTTAGTCGCGTTCGGCAATTGAAACTCGGAACCATAGAACCCGACTGCGCTCCCGTATGTCGTGATGCACCGATCTCGCCATTCAAAGGAGCCTGGTCCTCTGTTAACTCGGTCGAGCACGTGATCTAGTTTGGCTATCCTCCTGGCAAGTAAAGCATTACGAGCAGCTTGTGACGCCATGGTGCCGTCGCTGAGAATGCCGCCTACTAGGATGATGGCTCTCACACAAGATACATTGACTTCGTGGAACTTTGCGTTTAATAATTTGCGAAGAACCACTGTGTTAGCAAGGAGCTTGGTCTTCCCTTTGTTGAGTGAGCAACCGGTAACTGAGCCGAAGAGCTCGCATTGATCCAGAGAGCGGGTGATGGCCCCGACCACCTGGTTGGGACCGTTGCTGCTGTACTGGAGGCTGCTGTCGTCGATGAAATCCTTGAGGGTCGCACGGCGCGCTCTTGATATATTTTCTGGCTTGATGTCGCGGTGGCAGACCTGCACCACTGCGTGCAGGTGCCACACTGCCTCGACGCACTGCGAGGTGATCTTCACGACCCTGTCCATGCTCAGTGGTCGCTGCTTCTCCGGCTGCTGTGTTTGGCGGTGGTGCAGGCGTCTGTACAAGTTCTCTGGGCCCCCGTACTCCAGTCGAAAGATGAGGTGCGTCGGCGAGTGGTATATCTGGTGCAGGCGAAGAATGTTCGGGTGTCGCGTTTTCTCGTCGCTCAGCATCTGCATCACGCGGATCATGCGGTTGAGGAACATCAGGTCTCTGATTTCCGTGATGGCCTCAATGGACACCACCTTGACAACCTGGACCCTGTTGCCCACCCCGGGCCCCTCCGTCAGCCTGTAGACAGACCCAAACATGCCCTGTCCGAGCTTGTTCCCGATGACGTAGCCGGGAAGTTCCTGCGGCTCTCCGGGCTCAAGGTTGTGGTCGACCGGCGGGATCTCGGGCGCCAGGCGGGTCCTCACGTAGTCCCACAAGGTCGCGTGCGCGCAATGCTGCAGATACTCCGCGTACTGCGTCTTCGAGTGGGTCTCCGCGACCATGTCGGTCAGGTTCCGCGAGAGACTCGCCGACTTGCGGATCATCGAGCGCACGGCCATGGAGAGTCGCAGCCCCGCTGGCTCGCCGCTCACGATGCCGTCCAAGCCCCTGCGCAAGAGATCACCCACCAGCTCTGGCCTCACGGAGTCCGAGCTGTCCCGGCGCTGGTGGCCAGGCGCAGCGGAGTGGGGCACCCAGAACATCGGCGGGGCGTCCGTGCTGCCCATATCTATGCTCGTGATGATGTCGCAGAGCCTCTTGACCTCATTGCCACTGTTCTGGTTGCAGAACACCAGGACGGTGTGCAGCCGGGCCGAGTCCTCCCCGCTGAGCAGGGGTGTACCTTCGCGTATGTCCGAGTCCCTGGAGATCACGTGCCACACGTCCTGGAAGGCCTCCGGAGGCACCAGGCTGCTGGTGCAGAAAATGCGGAGGCCTCCCTCGAAGTCGTCCTCGTTCAGGTCGCGCAGGCGGCTGTAAAGCCACGCCTGTGCGTGCCCCAAGTCCTCTGGCGAAGACGCGGCGCCAGACTCGCCGTCCTCGCGTTCCACCTGCTGCGGCGGCACGCGATTCGGCGGTCCGATCGCCATGCTCTATGAAAAGTGCGGTCCTGGAACTTCGGGCAAACTACTTGGCGTTCCGCGCGGGAGGCTGCAGGACCTCGCTGTTCTTGAGCCCGAATGGCTACGGATTGCCACTGGTAGCAAGTTGGCCCCTTGCCTCTGGGGTAGCAAGTTGGCCCCTTGCCTCTGGTAGCCAATTGGCACCTTTGGTGGCAAATTGCCTCTGGGGTAACAAATGGCCCCTTGCCGCATGCCTCCGGGGTAGCAGATTGCCTCTGGTTGACCACCCTGACGTCCGCCGATCTGACCTTTTCAATCCGCGGCCCCAGAGGGTCTCGACCGCTTCCCTGGGAGTGCATTTCGTCCCAGATGCATTTTGAACGGTCCCGGCCCCCCAAGTCGGGGCAAAAACGCCGGTTGACAAAAATCGTATTGCGGGAGCTCTGAGAATTACCTCTGGTTGATGACGTTGAGTGTGAAGCAGCAGGGCTCGGCGCCCCCCCCCGCCTCGGCGGCGCCCGCACGGGGGTGGCGACAGGGGGGTCGGCTCCTGAGGTGGTGGGACGTCCAAGAAAGCAAAAGGGTTTCTTTGAAGCCTCACAGAAGCCCCTGCCCGGGCCCGAGCAGAAGAGCGAGACCCGAGACCGAGCAGCATCACAAGCCGGAGCCCGAGCCCGAGCCCGAAGCTCCAGCCTTGAGCCCCGAGCCGTCTGCTCGAGCCCCAGCTCTGCCCCGAGCCTGAGCTCGAGGCCCGACTCCAGGCCCGAGCCTGGCTCCGAAGAAGCCGCCTCCTAGGGGGCCACACGCGAACCCTGCCCCACCACGCCACGATTTCTGGGGGGGAAGGTGGGGCTCACCCCGTTCGGGAGGTCTCTCGAACGCAGTGGCCGTCGCGGCGCCGCTTGTTCTCAACGCGCCCAAGGGGACGGCGCGACCCCACGGCAAACCCAAAGGCAAGCCCTGCGCCCCGCGCCCCGAGAGAGACGACGCCGGCAGCGCGGCACACCCCACTGCAGCAGGCCCGCCGCGCCCGAGAGGCGGCGTTTCCCCCCCCCCCCGTGCCCACGGCGCCCTCCCCTGCTGAAGGCGCCGACGCCGCTAGTCCCCGCTCCTCCTCCTCCTCCTCCTCCTCCTCCTCCTCCTCCTCCTCCTCCTCCTCCTCCTCCTCCTCCTCCTCCTCCCTCCTCCTCCCTCCTCCTCCTCCTCCTCCTCCCCTCCTCCCCCTCCTCCTCCTCCTCCTCCTCCTCCTCCTCCTCCTCCTCCTCCTCCTCCTCCTCCTCCTCCTCCTCCTCCTCCTCCTCCTCCTCCTCCTCCTCCTCCTCCCCCATCCCCCTCCTCCTCCCCCAGACCTCTTCTGGCCAGGAGCTCGAGGCGAATCCCGTCGCGGCGACGAGGGAAGGCCAGCGGCATCGGCACGACAAGCTCGTGCCGTGCCGGCTTCGGCGCTGGATCTCCGACACCGCGGGAGTCGAACGATCGGCCGTCTCCGAAACGTCAGATCTCGACCGACTCCGTGCCCGCGGCGCGCTCCCCACGACGCAGGGCCGCGCGTCGGAACAAGCGGCGCGGCGACAGACCCGCCCCCCCCCCGAGTCGTCACACCCCTCTGGCGCCACCCCCTCGTGGGCGCCACCAGCGGACGTCCCCGCCCGGATCGGCGGCGGGGGCCTTCTGCATCATGTTCTCCACGGGGTGCAGCACGAGCACATTGGCGTCGGCTGGTGCGCGCCGCGGAGGCGGCGGCGGGCGCTTTCTATGTCTCCGCTCCCTCTGGGAGCGAGGGGCGACGACGACGCCGCCGCCGACGACGGCGATGATGATGCTGATGGTGGCAAATACGATGACACTGATGATGACAATGATGATGATGATGATGATGATGATGATGATGATGATGATGATGATGATGATGATGATGATGATGATGATGATGATGATGATGATGATGATGATGATGATGATGATGATGATGATGATGATGATGATGCTGCTGCTGCTGATGATGATGATGATAATGATGCGGCTGATGATAATGCTGATGGTGATGGATGGTGAGGATGATGATGGGGATGGTGATGATGTCATCGATGATGATGATGACGACGACCACGACGACGACGATGACGACGGCCACCGCCGCCACCATAACGATGACGAGGCCGACGATCAGGAGGAGGAAGAGGAGGACGAGGAGGAGGAGAAGGAGGAGCAGGACGAGAAGGAATCGCGTTGAAGAATCCCGCGAGCGTGCTGTCAGCAACGTCACGGTCTGACTGGTTGATGCGACAGTCTGTTCAAACAGCGGGAGAACTCCACAAAGCCTACCTTGCCCGGCCTGGAACTCGGGCAGGACTGAAAGGGGAGGAAGGGGGCGAGAAGGGGGGAAGGCAGGAGGGTGGAAGGGTAGCATGACACCCACTCGAAACAATCGGTTGCCAAACCCCGCGTGAGAATACTGGGGCAAACGAGACGGCCACAGACACAATCGCTGGCCCGCCATCCCTACTTCCCGCCCTCTTCCTCGGCCCGCGCCCTCGCGGCTGGTACCGCAACGAAAACCCTACGGATGCGCGATCCCGCGGACACGCTCCGCCTGAAGCATCGGTGGTTGGACCCAACGCCTTGTTGTGGGGTGCTTAAACAAGCAGATCACCTGAGCTCATGGCACGCAGAGACAGCCCCATCACTCGCCATCGCTCGGACGTCCATTCCCCGTGCATTTGTTGGGGTCGTGCGTGTATTGTTGGCCCGACGGTCCAGAATGTTCCTCGATGGTCCTCGCCCAGGCAAACGCACACGCCCGAGCGATGCCAAGATCATGCCAGAGCCCAACCAGCGTTTGCGGTGGAAAAAACAAAAAAACGGGGCAGGCCGCGGTTTGCAAATGTGGGCGGTTCTTTATCGAAACGACTCGCGCTCCCCCGCGCCGACCACCCCGATCTCCGAAATCGGGGCCCGCGGGCCTGGACCCGTTTCAGCACGCGCTCATGGTTGGCGCTTCTCACGAAGACCACGGTGGCACCCAGTGCTGGGTCGACTTGGCCCGATGGTCTAGGGTGCTCCTCGACGGTCCACGCCGAAGACACCATGCACGCGCCCGTGCGATGCCAGGATCATGCCGGAGCCCTGGCGTCCACCCCCATGGATTCATAGCTCCCCCTGGATTCCTTAAAAGGAATCCTGAGGGGGCTCCTCCTCTGGGGTTCCTAGGATTATGTACGTAAGGATTCTCAGGAATCCCTAGGGACCCTTAGGATTCCCTAGATTTATGTCGGGCCTGTCCCTCTACAGGGAGAAAATTTTCAAACCAAAAAAACGATATAGAGAGAGAGAGAGAGAAAAACAAAAAATAGTCTGGGGACTATTTTTTGATATGTTTGGGCATCTCCTGGACATGTTTTAATTTTTTTGTGAAATTGTTCGTCCAAAATCCCCCTGTCCTCGTCGTCGTCGGCGCCCGCGAAGACAGCCCCGACCGTGTTCCTGAGCATGCCGGGCTCCGGCGGGAAGCCGTGGCCACATAGGGAGCGCGGGCGAAGAGGGTATTCACAGCTGCGGCACTCACCACTGCACATGGTTGGGCCCTTTGCCAGGCGAATTGGAATATCTTTTGTTCTTCGTCCAAAATCCCCCTCCCAGGGGGACAGGCCCGACCGAACCCCAGATTCCCTACGGACGCGCAGCGCTAGGTCGACGCGGCCGCCCCGTGCGCACCCGCGCGCAGTTGTGTTTGGCCGCCGCGCGCGCGCACTGCGGGGGGGGCGGCGGCCGAGGAGCCCAGGCCGCCGGGGCGGAGGCTGCGCGGCGGGCCCCCCGCGACGCGGCGGCGCCCGCGCCGCTTCCTGGCACCGCGTGGGCCGCTCCGCGCGTGCTGAGGAGGAGTTGGTGAGGATGAGGATGATGCTGATGATGATGCTGATGAGGATGGTGATGAGGCTGATGCTGATGCTGATGCTGATGGTGATGATGATGAGGATCGTGGTCGTGGTCGTCGTGATGATGCTGGTGGTGCTGATGGCGGTGGTGATGATGGTGGTGGTGGTGGTGATGGTGACGGTGACGGTGACGATGATGATGATGATGATCATGATCATGATCATCATGAGGAGGAGGAGGAGGAGGAGGAGGACGGACCAGTTTTGTGACCAGTTCCTGACACCGCGTGGGTCGTTCCATTTTAAGCGATCGGCGGTTTCTCGCCAGGTCGCTCATGTGGCGGATGTCGGACACCCTGAACCGAAAAACGTTTTCATCTCTTGAAGGCGCACTGTTATCTTCCGCCACCTTCCGCCACCCTTCCGCCGGCTTCCGCCAGCGGAGGCGGCCTCCTTTTACTTCCGCCGACCTTCCGCCGCGGAAGAGATGACAACTCCTTCGATCCCCGAAGGCAAGGCCGTTTCTGGAACGCCCCATCTACGGCGATGCAATGTCTTATCTCTCCGCGTGCCCAACCGAGGCCAGGCACCTGCATGCAAAGGAAACAAGTACAGGGGCCGTCCCGCGCCCTCGCGGCAAGGGCGGCCCCTCTCGGCCCTGTTGGCGGTCGCCTTGCAGCCCCGCTCGATCGCCGCCGCGGGCGAGCCGAAGCCGTGCGACGCCTACGGTGAAGCCATTGGATCAAGATTCATTCGATGAGGAATCCGGGGCCTGCAGGCCAATGGAACTCCAATCGTGGCTTGGCCATGGCTATCACCGCCGCCCTCATCAGACAAGGAATCCTCCCGGGTCTGGGGCCTCCTGGGCACGTTCCTTAACGAACGCCCCCACCGCAGTGGGCCGCTTCTGGGCACCGGCGGCGTCAAGCCTTCAAACGTAAACGGTCGCGACGGGGTCGCCACAGAGCCGGCACGACACGAGCCTGCCGCTTCAGTAGGGGCGCGGCAAGAGGAGCCTAGTCCGCGAGGCGATAGATGATGCGGGCATGCTGTCTGTTTCCCCCGCCCCTCGCGGCGGGGGTCCTGCGAACTGGAAGGAGGTGAGAAGCAGGCTGAGGAGCACGAAGGCGGTGATCACCAGCGAGAACAGCGCCTCCTCGAAGACGAAGGGCCTCAGGTCGAAGTAGAAGGCGAAGTGCCACGTCTGGCGATGGGAGCGAGGAGCGAGGAGCACCACGGACGCTGCAGATTTGACCGGGGCCTCAGCCCACATTCACGGACGAGGCGTCCATGCAGTGGGGGCCCGCATCAATAAACCATTTGTTTTTCGTCAGAGCATCCTGGGTTTCTTCGCTCCGCGAGCTGCGCAGTGGCTTCCCGCGGCCGTTGAAGGAGCTGCTGCGTTCAGGGTGCTCTGGGTTTCCCCTCGGGTGCACCTCGCGCGCGTGTTTTCAGGGCTGGGTTTCTTGCGAGGGTTTTTGTTGCGGCCGCGCCCGCACTGCAAGAGAAGGTACTGGGAGCTGTGGCAGCTTGCACGAGCGAGCAAGTGTTCGCCACGGGTGGGAAGAAGAGCGAGGCAGAAGGAGGGAGGCGGTACATCGCCTAGCTTCGCGCCTCGCTGTGCGCGGTCATCTTCGCGCCCTCGCACCGCTCCCCGGAGGAGGGCAACTCCTTGGCCAAGACCGCGACGCGCGAAACGCGTCTTCGTGCCCCCGCGGGCGACCTGAGAGGAACGCCCTACAGCTTACACGTCCGAGGAGGGAGCTTGCAATCAGAATTGGAAGGAAGGGCATGGTCGACGTCGAGCTCTGAGTTTCCCGTGAAGTGCCCCAGGGCTCCTGCGGGGGCATCTCCATGAATTTCTGCCCTCTCGGGGCCGTCTTCGGACCCAAGGACCAAGCACCATCGAAAACGAAATCTGGGACGCAGAACTACCCCTGTGCAAGCGGTCGGAACTTCCGGGGCCGCAGATTGAAAAGTCGTATCGGCGGACGTCAGGGGACCCCAGGACACCTTCCCAGCTAATGAGATGTCCTGAGTCCTTCATCACGGGGTCCCCCGAAGTCCCGATCCCGTTTCCCAGGGCCGACTATCCATCCCGAGCCGTCTGTTGACGGCCTCCAGGCCTAGACAAAAACCATCCCCTGAGGCCGAAAACGGCGGAAAGCTCCCGTCCTGATTCTTGCTCAAGTCGTTGGATGTCTGGATTCTCGCCGCGGCAAGAGAAAGGAAGGATCGCTGGGCCGTCATGTCCATCGCTCGCACGTCAATTCCCCGTCCACTTTTCGGTTTCATGTGTTTTTCTCCGGTTTTGCGCAAGATGATCCCAGACGCTCCTCGATGGTCCCCGCGGAGAAAAATGCACACGTCCGGGCGATGCCAAGCTCGTGCCACCCTCGCCACCCTGCCGCCCGAGCTCACGGTCCGCAAACGCCCCAGCGTCGGAGGCCGACATCGGGGAGCCAATGACGGCTGACAATTACCCCGGCACGGCACCCCAACGGCAGCAAAAGCGAAGAGGCGGGTCGAGGACCGGGAGGTCAGCTAGGAAGGGTCGGGCTCAATCCTGGGGGGCACCTCCCTCCTCCTCCTCCTCCTCCTCCTCCTCCTCCTCCTCCTCCTCCTCCTCCTCTCCCGCTTCCTTCTCTCCCTCCTCGTCGTCCTCGTCGTCCTCCTCCTCCCTCCTTCCCCTTCCCTGCCTCCTCCCCCCCGCCCTCCCGCATCCCCCCCCCCATCTCCCCCGACGGGGGTGAGGCCATGGCCATGTGCACCTCCGTGCACTTCTTGTCACCAGGGGTCGCGGCCGCCCAGGCCCCAACAGTGCAGCCAGCAGCGAGCAGAAGAGGAGAAAACGGCATAGACATACAGTCGGGGCGTTGACCTAAGGAACCCTAAGTAAAGAACGAGGCCCCTTTTTTCCATAAGTTGAACTTCGATTTCCCGTCGAAAACCTAAGGCAAATCCAAGGCAAGCTGCGAAACACTTAAGGAACACGGAGCCCCTCCCCAACCGAAAGGGTTCCTTCTTCAGGGCCCCGACTGTACACTTGCGACGGTCCGCGCGGATTTCTTGGATCTGCGCTGAACCCCCCTCCCTGGCGCGCGGAGCGCGCCAGCGCCGCCAAGGGGCCCCGGCGCAGATCCAAGAACACCGCGCGGAGCGCCAAAAGTGATTGCTCACGCCGTTTCTTTTTCTCGGCGGTGGACCAACCTCCCTTTACAATAAACCTCCCTTTGGTGAAAACGGCCCGGAACCGACACCGACGGACCTGGGCCCGCAAAAATGACGGCCGCGACGCCCTCCCGCGAACCGAGAGCGGCCCGATTTTCTCCTTCGGTGCCAGGGATCGTGGTCCGGACCAAAACTGCGGCCCGCAGCGAGGCGAGCGCACGCTCCCTGCGCAAGCCGTGCGGGAGTCTCCGGCGAAGCGGCCGCCAGACCGGGCGGTCTTGAGGGGCAACGATAAGGGGGGGGAATAGGCATAGGGGGGGGGATGCATCGACCTGGAATCGGCGACGCATCGTCGATAGATCGGCGACAGGCTTCCGATAGTGAATCCGCACCTTCCTGGGCAGGTTAGGGCTATCGGGCCCCTATCGGCGATCAATGGGCGATTGGGGGTCGATGCATCCCCCCCGTGTGCCCATCCCCCCCTATCGTTGCCCCTGAGGTCTGGGGTCTCCCCGTCCCCCCTTCCTGTGGCACTGCCCGACAGCAGGAGCTCGACCACGAGAAGCCTTCCACGAGAAACCCAGCCCTGGGAGCGTCACGCTCTCCATCGCAAGGCCGTCGCAACCCAGGGAGCTCGGGGCGCCCTGGAGGCAAGCAGGGTGCTCCTTGGCATGGGCTCCCACTGCATGGTCCCCTCTTGACCGTTCGGGGATGCCGCAGAGCTGGGGACACGTGGCGCCCGCGGCCCGGCCCCCCCCACCCCCCCCTCTGACTACCTACCAGACCGCCCCAACCCAACCCGAAGACCCGAATGTCGGGTTGGGGGGGGGTATGGGCTCCAGACGTGTTTTTGTCGATGGTCCCGGACCCCCCCAGACTGGAAATGGAGGGCAGACTGAGGCCTTCGGGCTGGGCGGAGGAGGAGGAGGAGGAGGAGGAGGAGGAGGAGGAGGAGGAGGAGGAGAAGGAGAGGAGGAGGCAATGGGTGGCTTGGCGGGTGGGTGACCCTCGCTGCCCCGGGTCCTCGTGCGTCGCCCTCGTGACCTGGAGCTGCGGGGAGACCTTCTTCCTGCGGCGGCCCCGCCCCCCGTCGGAGCGGGGGGGCAGGGAGCGCACGCGGGGCCGGGGCGGCTGGGGGGGGGGGGCGGGGGGGGGAAGCAGCAGGGGGCGGGGGGGGGTGGGGGGGGGGCGGCGCGGGGTGGGGGGAGGGCGGGGGGGGGGGAGGAAGCGGCAGGGGGCGGGGCGGGGCGGGGGGGGGGGGGGGGGGGCGGCGGGGGGCGGGGGGGGCGGGGGGCTACGGGGGGGGGGCAGGCGCGGGGGCTCCTCGCGCACGCACGAGCACGCACGCGGGGCTCCGACTCCGCACGCGCGGGGCTGCACGGGTGCCACGCGCACTGGCTTCCACGCGCATGGCCTTGCCAACCCGGTGGCTTCCACACCCGTGGCTCCGCACACGTGGCGTTGGCTCCCCCCCCCCCCCCACACACACACACACGCGCATGGGTGCCTTCGCTTGTGACCCGAGTGCGCTGCTTGCGGTCCGCGCGCGCTGGCATCACTCAATTGTGCGGGGTCCACTGTGGCGAGCTCCGCGGTCAATGCCTATCAGTCTGGGCCTTCTATTACAAGCATGTGCAAACACATCTGCGAAGCCACAAACGAGGCACCCACCGTACATGGACGGTTTCTTTGCGACAAGCTGCTGCAACATTATCATTAGCTGTGCTCGAGCGTCGCAAATCTGCAGGAGTCCAAACTACAAGGACAGACGCAGACATGGCACTTCTTGGCGCAAGGCCCCCCATCGGAAGCCACCGTTTGCCACAAACCAGGTCAGTGTGGGCCGCGCTAGCCGACCACCCGTTCTTGCCGCTGCTCCGAGATGGTATCGATGATGGGCTGGACGGGACAGCTCCACCGATCCCAGACCCGGCGCACAACAAGCAGTCGGAGAGAAAGAGTGGACATCTTGACCGTCGCAGCTCTGACTGAACCTCGAGCTGTCACAATTCCTTCTTGCCACCGCCCTTCTGCCGCTTCGCCTTTGGCTTCCTGCAGGCGCCCGATAGCTCCATGCAGAGCTGCCTGGAGATCACCGTCTCCGAAAGAGCGGCACCGGTCTTGGCCTTCCTTGCCGTGAACAAGAACTCTGCCAACTCCGCATGGCTCTCTTTAACCGTGGCCTCGCAAGCTATGCTTACTGCTCTTGCCGCCCTAACCACATCCCAATCGGTGTCTCCCTGATCTGCTGCTGCCGCCGCTGCTGCCGCCGCCGCCCTTGATTGCTCCTCGCTCGGAGGTTCCAGCGTGTACTCGTCCTTGGGACCCTTCTTGAGCTGCCAATGACTGTCTTTCACCAGGTGGTCCGGAAAGCCACGAAAGCCACAGAATGCCGAAAAATACTCCATGAGCTCGAACTCGCTCCTGAAGTCTCTTGTCGCCAGCGTTGCAGAGATATTGGCAGATGCCTGCTCGCAAACGGTGCATTTGATCTTAGCTCCGGCGATACCAACATCAGCCAAAGCGTTCCGTTTCTTGTTCATCGCGTCGTCGGTAACTTTCAACACCTTCGGAGCATGCTTCCTTTCGTTTTCATTCAGCGACTCATCCACTGGCACCTCAACGTAATCCTGCGAAGGTTTTGCAACGCAAACTACTGCCTGAGCCACCAGCGACGTCATCATGAGTAGATTCGCGCAGGCAGCAGAGGCAACCAGCATGGCGTTCTGCAGCTGTTGAGTAAGGTTACGCGGGAGAGCCGGGGCAAAACATATAATACTTGAAACCTCGGCGCTGTCGACCTGAAAGCAAGACGTCTACGGACGAAATGCCGTGGGCTCTGTCCTGCCGCCTGCCGCTGAATGGTCTCAGGCATTTGTGCTTCTTCACAACAGCACCCTCACGCATTGCAGACTGATGCGCGAAGAGGGTGGCGAGGGCACGAATGAGCATGACCAAACGCGCACGGGACACATTTTGCACCCCTTGGCTCGTGCGTGCAGTCCGTGCGCAAATGTCATGCCTTGCCTCGTTGCAATGTGAACGCTTGATCCCCGAATAGGCCAACCACAAGAGCAATGACCATGCCGCGGAGGAACGGGAAAATTGTCAAGAAGGATGCGGCGGCATGAAGAGAAGCACGAATCAATATCGATAGTAATGTCAGGGACGACATGTGGCAAGCTCCTCTCAATCTGCCGCAGGTTCTCCGGACACTTCACGCGGTAGTCTACTGCGGAGCGGCGAATAATTTGTACTGATGGCTGCTCACATCCTTGAAAGGTCGTCCCTGCATGGTCGATGCCAGCCGGGCCTGCGATTGGGCACGGAGGGAACTCGGAAACACGAAATCCGAGGCTGGGACTTATCCATATCTACCGCCCAGGAGACCGATCTTCCTGGACCTCGGCAGGCGGTGAAGTGGAGCCCCACGGGCCGAAATGGGTCCACCGCCCCCTGGAGTCCCAGGACCTCGGTTCCCGAGGCGGTGGGCGTGGACAAATCGCCGCCTCGCACGAGAGAGCCTGCCTCAGGACACGCGCCCGAGCCCGAGCCCGAGCCGCAGCCCGAGGCCGAGCCCGAGCCAGAGCCCGGTCCCGAACCCGAGCCCGAGCCCGCGCCCGAGCCCACGCGCCTACGGGGCGCGCGGGAGGCGCGCCAGCGGACCACTCCTTCCCAGAGGCGCGCGCGAGGGGCGCTCGGCGAAGGGGGCGAGCTCTTGAAGAGGCATTCCGCCCACGGCAGGTTGGTGCCGTGACGACCCCGACGTTGGGTTCTGACACCGCGTGGGTCGTTTAACCTGGGACGATCGGCGGCCTTTCGATCGATAGATCGTGTCATGTTGGACGATTCTGGGCCACTGGCGGCGTTCAACCTTGAACGCCCGCGGCGGGGTCGCTGCCGCATCTGGGCACACGCACCTGCCGTAGAAAGCCTCCTGACTTCCAGGATCCCGCTCTCGAACCTTCTTACAGGGCGGGCGGTCTCCTCGAGTAGCCCCCATGTCTTCTTAGAAGGCCGCACCCCTCGATCGGCGAACTCGTGCGTCCCGTCGTCTGCTCTACTCTTCTCGTATCCTTGTCATCGCCTGCTCTGCCTGCTTCCCCTCTGGCGACAGCCGCGCTGTATCCCCACAACCGTCTACGTCGTCGTCTTACTGCTGCTCCTCCTCCGCTTCCTCACGTCGCGACCTGCTTCTGAGATACCTGGCAACCCTGGCTCCGCCGCTGTGGCCCCAAGCAGGGCTTCGGCCTGGCTTCTGGAAAGACATCATGTAGCGTGCACCCACGACTGTATGCTGCCAGTCTATATGCATCCTCTGTGTTCACTTGCACTGTGGTTGCGGACCACATCTGAGTCGTCTCAATACTCTGTACTCACTGGAAATGTACATGCTAATTGCTATGTTTGCCACACGTGCGAGTGCGACTACTATGAAATCGACTACGGCTACTACTACTTCTACGACTATTTCTACGACGATTACTACTACTACTACTACAACAACACCTACTACTACTACTACTACTACTACTACTACTACTACTACTACTACTACTACTACTACTACTACTACTACTACTACTACTACTACTACTACTACTACTACTACTACTACTACTACTACTACTACTACTACTACTACTACTACTACTACTACTAACTACTACTACTACTACTACTACTACTACTACTACTACTACTACTACTACTACTACTACTACTACTACTACTACTACTACTACTACTACTACTACTACTACTACTACTACTACTACTACTACTACTACTACTACTACTACTACTACTACTACTACTACTACTACTACTACTACTACTACTACTACTACTACTACTACTACTACTACTACTACTACTACTACTACTACTACTACTACTACTACTACTACTACTACGACTTACTACTACTACTACCTACTACGACTACTACGACTTACGGCTACGACTACTACTACTACTACTACTACTACTCTTACTCTTTACTTACTACTACTACTACTAACTACTACTACTACTACTATTACCCACTACACACTATCTACTACTCACTCTCACGACTACTACTCTACTATACTACTACTCTACTACTACTACTATACTACTACGACTGACCCGTACTACGACTACGACTACGACTAACGACTAACGACTACTACTACTACTACTACTAGTGCTACTATTACTACTACGAACTACTACTACTATTACTACTACTACTACTACTACTACTTCTACTATTACTACTACTACTACTACTACTACTACTACTACTACTACTACTACTACTACTACTACTACTACTACTCCTACTACTTCTACTGCTACTACTGCGACTACTACCACGTTTACTACTACTACTGGTGTTAGTACTACTACTACTACTACTACTACTACTACTACTACTACTATTCCTAGTTACGAAACTACTACAACCGAACGGTGTCCATACTACTACTAACTACGACTCTACTACTACTACTTACTACGGACTACTACTCACTACTCTACTACTACTACGACACTACTACTACTACTACGGACTACGACACTACTACTGGTACGACTAATACTAGTACTACGACTAATACTAGTCCTAGTACTATCTTAAGTAGTAGTAGTAGTATTGTTGTGAGTAGAGTAATAGTAAAGTGTCGTACTATTACGATTACGTTTACTACTACTACTAGTACTACTACTACTACTACGACTACTACTACTACTCACTACTACTACTACTACTACGACTACTACTACTACTACTACTACTACTACTACTACTACTACTACTACTACTACTACTACTACTACTACTACGACTACTACTACTACTACTACTACTTACTACTACTACTACTACTACTACTACTACTACTACTACTACTACTACTACTACTACTACTACTACTACTACTACTACTACTACTACGACTACGACTACTACTACTACTACTACTACTACTTCTACTGCTACCACCACCACTACCACTACAAATACCACGACCACGACCACGACCACAACTACGACGACGGCTACTACTCCTCTTACTACGACTGCTACTACTACTACGACGACGACTGCTACTACTACTACTACTACTACTACTGCTTCTACCACCACTACTAGTACTACTACTACTACTAATACCACCACTACTACTACTACTACTACTACTACTACTACTACTACTACTACTACTACTACTACTACTACTACTACTACTACTACTACTACTACGACTACTACTACTACTACTACTACTACTACTACTACTACTACTACTTACTACTACTACTACTACTACTACTACTACTACTACTACTACTACTACTACTACTACTACTACTACTACTACTACTACTACTACTACTACTACTACTACTACTACTACTACTACTACTACCTACTACTACTACTACTACTACTACTACTACTACTGCTACTACTACTACTACGACGACGACGACGACGGCAGCGACTGTTACTACTACTACTACTACTACTACTACTACTACTACTACTACTACTACTACTACTACTACTATTCATGCTACTACCAATGCTATGCCTGCTGCACAAGATTCAGCCTCTCGCCCCTTTTGCTTCAGCGCGTTGTACCTCAGCCATGTTCACGCTTACGGCGCTTGACAATCAGTGATCGTGGAGACTCGAATGGCTGTTTTCTCGCGTGGTTGAACTGGTCGTACCGTCTTCGCCCAGGCACTCGCACGCGCGGAAACCAATGCAGCCCAGCATTGTGACAACTAGTCCCCTTCCTTACCTTCGTCATCAACATAAGCCTTATCCCCATCCTCATCCTAATGGCCATCGCAGTCCTCATCGTCAAGCTGCTCCTCCGTTTACTCCTGTAAGTTCTCATCGTCCTCATCATCATCCTTATCCACCCGCTGCCCTTCGTGTTAAAGTTTGCTGATGGTGCTCTTCCTTCTTCTCCCTGTGTTTCCTTCTCCTCCACTTCCTCCCCCTTGCGCTGGAGAAATCCTGTCTGCTTTCCCGTCCAAGAAGGGTATGCCCTCGTTGTCCAGGAAGGAAAGTCCGCGACACCCTCGTCCAGGAAGGATACACCCAGCCTTTTGTACACGTCCTCGTTGTCAGAAGAGCGAAGTGTGGATAAGAGTGGAAAAAGGGGCAACGAAGAAGCAGAAGAGGGCATCGAATGCGACAAAGAAGAGGGAGGGGGAGCATGAAGATAGGTCTGGCAAGAAGAGGAGTGGCTCGGAAAGAAGGGATGGATCAATGATTTCCTAAACTGGCAGTGGCCTGACGTCCCCACCGACTCCCATGTATTTTGGGGCAACCAGATCGGAACGGCACCGCCTGACTGGTGGTGTTCACGTGTAATGGACTGACGACAGAAAATTGGAAGCGTAAATACGTGGACGAGCCCCTGCGGATTCGAACACACAGCTCGACCTCCTCCTCATTATCATGATCATCATCATCATCATCATCATAATCATCATTATCACCACCATCATCATCATAATCATCATAATCATCATCATCCTTATCCTCATCATCATAATCATCATCATCCTCTTCCTTCCCCTCCTCCTCCTCATCATCATTATCACCACCATCATCATGATGATCATCACCATGATCATCAAACTCATCATCAACACCAGCATCATCATCAGTAGCATCAGCATCATCATCATCAGCATCATCGTCATCAGCATCGTCATCATCATCATCAGCATCGTCATCATCATCATCATCATCAGCATCATCATCATCAGCAGCATCATCATCATCGCAGTCATCACCATCATCAGCAGCATAAACAGAGTCATTAGTATCACAATCATCATTATGAACGTCATCATCATCATCACCATTACCACCATCATCACCATGCATAAGCAGCATTGTCCTCGTCATCATCACCACCATCATCATCATCATCATCAGCATCATCATCCTCATCATCATCATACTCATCATCACCATCGTCATCGTCTAATGAATCATGACAAGCGTCATCGTCAGCACCATCTCCAACATCGTCACCACAATCATCATCATCACCAGTATCAGCATCGTAATCATCACCATCATCACCATCATCATAATCGTCATCATCGTCATCATCACCATCATCATCATCATCATCATCATCATCATCATCGTCATCGAACTCATCACCACCATCCTAATAATGGCAATACTCATATCAATGTAGAATGACAATGCTACTAGCATGAATAAGAATGAGACTAGGCATAAACATCTTCACCATGCCCATGACCATGACCATGACCATCACCATCCTCATCATTGTCATTATCCTCACCCTCCTCCTCCTCCTCCTCCTACTCCTCCTCATCGACGCAATTATCAGCTTCACCATCATCATCCCCCTCCCTACTACCTCTTGTCTCCTCCACTTTTCTCCTCTGGCGTGATGCTGGCTGCGTTGCGAGGATGCGTCCACTAGAATTCCGATCCGAAGCTCGACCTCTTTCCGCCACGTCGAGCCTCCGCGTCAGAGGGCTCGCCCTTCGCCCTCCACACCCGCCGACTTCTGGCGAGACTGTCTCCATTTTCTTGCGCAGGCTGCAAGGCGCAAAGACTGACTCCTCCTCTTCTCCCTCCTCGTCTCTGCGCCCTACCTGCCTCCCCCCTGCTCCGCAAAACAAGTTGGGAAGCCACTCGGCACGGATGAAGATGCTTCCAGTCCTTCGGTCCGCCTTGGGCGCCATCGCGCCAAGGCAGGCCCGCGCGCGGGTGACACTTGGCCTCCCACACGGTGCGAAAGCCATATGGCGGGTTCAACGAACCCTGAACCCAACAAAATTGCCATCTCCTGGGGGCGCATGTTGTACTTCCGCCAGCTTCCGCGGACTTCCGGCGGCGGAGCCGCCCTCGTTCTACTTCCGCCAGCTTCCGCCACCATCCGCCGAGGAACCGATATCGATTCTTTCGATCCTCGAAGACGAGGCCCTTTCTGGAACGCCTGATGTATTGAGCATGGTCAGTCTCCCAAATTGCTGGCCTCTCACAAGGAGCCAGCGACACAGCGGACAGCTACCCCCTGCAGACAGGACAAACTACAAAGGGCCCGTCGGAGACCAGGTGGTAGCTGGCTCCCGGGAGGGGAAAAGCCCTTCCCCACCCCATGGGGGACACCAGCCCACCAGACAGGGCCTCCGGGGGCCGAGCAGACCTCCTCGCAGGCACGCCGGACGTCATAGCCCGACGGCCATGCCAGACATGGCACCGGAGGCGGTGCAACCCAGGGGGAGGAGGAGGAGGAGGAGGAGGAGGAGGAGGAGGAGGAGGAGGAGGAGGAGGAGGAGGAGGAGGAGGAGGAGGAGCCTGAGGTCTCGCAGCCGCAGGCACAGGACCCCCCGGGGAGACCAACGGCGGGCACTCCTCACAGCCGACCAGCCGCCTGCTGCTCCTCGGGGTGCCGCGGCAGACGTCCAGGCTCTCGCAGCCGAGGAGGGGCCAACAGCGCGGCGGGCGGCCCGCAGCGCGAGTTGGACGGCAGCTTCACCGACCGACGGCGGCCACGAGTTCTCCGAATTTTGAAACCAGAAGTTCGTGGAAACTACCCTGGCCAGGAGTACGCTGGTTGTGCGCAGGAGGAGGGACAGGAGCAGGAGCAGGAGCATGAGGAGGAGCAGTGTCAACAGCCTAGTGTCAACAGCGTGGTGTTGACAATACGTTGAATGCACGACGTAGCGTGTGTTTTCGAAGTGCATCTTAGGCAGCAGCGTATTGGCTCACGGGGGACAGAAGGTTCCTGGGTCGTGAAAAGAAAGCGCCGCGAAAGAAGTCGATGTTGGTGCGCTCGGACCTGTCCCCGAGGAGCAAGCTGTCGTGGGCAGCTGGAGCAGCAAAGAGCCTCGACAAGGGCGGCTTTACTTGCGCCTGTCGAGGGCCGCTGCCGTAGTATTAGGTCGGGTCTGTCCCCCTACAGGGGGATCTTGGGCGAAAAATAAGAGATACTCGAAACATACTCTCAAAATGATCAAAAATGAATACGAAAATCGTCCCCGCACTACTTTTTGGCTAATTTTGAATATCCTTCCTGTAGAGGGACAGGCCCGACTTAACCGTAGTATGCAGTTCCTGTTCGTTGAAGTTGAGAAGCTCGAACCGCTGCTCCAAGCGAACGTTTTGCCGTTACAGATCTGGTGTAGAGCAGTGTTCGAGTCCTGGGCCACCGACGCCCACATGAAGCATGCCTTCGACTATGCGGTGAATGTCAGGTCAAGGAAGGAGGACAGTCCTAGGCCCAGCTGGATCGGTCGTACTCACTCTCCTGCGTCTCAAATGGGATGCGGTCTCTTGGGATGCGTGGGTCAACAATTACGGCGTGCCTTTCAAATCAAAGAAGTAGGGCCTAGGACCGTGCGAGCCCTTGTGGAAGACGCGACCAAGAGGTTGCTTAGGATCCGTGCTGTTGCTTTGTACATTGTCCACTGGGAGCTGCATGTTGAGCCACTACAAGGTGAGCCTGCCAGATGAAGAGGTCTAGGAGACTATCTTGGGGCGAGTCTTTTCATTGCGCAATGCTCTGGGGGTATGTGGACCCAATCTGACGTTTACCGCAAGAGGTTCGTCATCGAAGACAAGTGCCGGTGGTGCCAACAAACACCTAGTACCGCATTTCAAAAGATATGGGGCAGTGACGGCTTCGAGCTTCTGAGGGGGGATCACGACCACGGAGGACTAGGAATGGAGGTTCCGAAACTGATCTCAGATGGAACCGTGGCTTAGTCGACTCTACCAGGACACATTGTCCGAGCATTCTTCAAAGAGCAGGATGTCCGTAGGCTGTGAGGCCCGTCTCTGGAGTGTTAGGTGACACGGTATGCATAGACGGATACGACAGCGACATCCGTTGGCTTCTTCGTGCAGGGTGGGCTCTTGTCCCGATCTGCCCACTCATGCAGACAGAAGCAATGGCCAACGGACCTTCCGCTCTTCCTGTGCGTGACGTTCCGTCCAGTGAGTTGTGCGCATTTCACATGGCGCTCTGTTTCATGGGGCCCAGCATTGTGATCATTCCATGTTGCAAGATGGTGTGCGACGGATGGGAAGCAGGGAGGGAAGGGAAAGAGAGAGAGAGAGAGAGAGCGAACCAATATTATGCTGAGCTGTGGAGATTGACCAGGATTCGGATCGACGATCTTGAAAGGCGCGCAGTCCAAGTCCGCTGGATGCCATCGGACATGTCGAAGGCAGGGGCCGAGAAGCGCGGCTACGAGCAGTGGTTCCGTGGCAACGGGGAAGCAGGCACCTGGCTCAAGAGAGGTGCTAATGCGCACCCGGCTAATCATCATCTTCGAGATCGACTGCGGTTCCATCATGTTCATGTCACGTTCAGGTTCAGATATGTGGTGGCTGTTCCCCCCAAAAAAACATGCCCATGCCCTCGGTGATCCCGATGTTAAGTCGTATATTCGGAGCGCGCCGAGAAGGAGTCTAGGATTTTGGAGGCCCCGATTCTCGAGACGGTCCCAGCCCAGATGACAAGGGTCACGTGGTCTCACGGGCTGCTGGCAGCGGGTGGTGGTGCTCGGCCCGCGGAGTGGCAAGAACTCAACTTCGCTCTCGGCCGGTGCAGTCGCCGTGTCCTGGGATTCAGCGCATGGTTTCCCCAACGCACCCCACACGTCGTCTCTGGCAGAATGGAAGTACGACCTGGTGCGTGCGCCGTGGAGCGCATGCCTGTTGCAAGGTCAAAAGGAATGGAGCAGAGCGTGCCAGGGAGAGCGTGGCACGGTCTGGGAAGCTGAGGCCTTGGGGATTCTCAAGCAGGGTAAGGGTCCCTCAAATTCTGAGGCGGAGGTGGTCAACCCTGTCCCCCTCAGGCAGCCTTAGCGTCTCACGAATCGGGCAGGTGTCTTGTGTCATCGGGACGCCTGCTGATGAGCGCAAGAGCGCAAGAGGAGGAGGAGGAGGAGGAGGAGGAGGAGGAGGACGAGGAGGAGGAGGAGGAGGAGGAGCAGGAGCAGGAGCAGGAGCAGGAGGAGCAGGAGGAGAGCAATACGCAGGAGGCCAAGGTGGAGGCAGAGGATGAGGAGGCAGGTGGCGGACAGAGCGAGGGGAATGCAGAGGGTAAGGA